TGTTTGTTTTGGTGATTTAAAATATCAACATTGGCTACCAGAAATCACTTACTCTGCCTTTAACATGGGGAGTCTATGGGATTGACTCCCTTTTGCAGCCAGCCTCTAGCGGCCAGTTGATGAATTACAGTTTAAGTCACTTCCTTGTTGGCTTCACGAGAGAGAGCGGGAGGTTGCCGCTTGGCTAAGATGCAAACCCCTGAATCCAAGTATGATACTTTGCATACTTGGATTGCAGGGGTTTGCATCTTAGCAAACACTTAGCATTTTTAGCCATCAAGCTGTATTTTGCATTAGTATCTAAAAATGAATTTAATTTAATATTTATTATTTATTTATTTTTTAATGTTAAGACATTGTTCACAGCTCTCGCGGTAGGATCTCTAATGGCTGATAGATTTTGTGTTGTGTAAGACAAGATATATTTTGAGCGTGGCGTGTGGGTTCACAGCAGTCTTTCATTCTACCACATCACTAACTCACACTCCTCCCAGCATGTGGGTTTTGTGTCTCTGTGGTGGGTTCATCATTTCTTTGATGACACCATACGGGGTTTTTGTGATTCATCGATAATATGTGTGTGACGTGTTCCTCTCTTGCCACTTTAGAAAAGGCCATTGAGATGAGACTGTGTAAGATCGACCACACGGCTCTGCATCCCCACCTGCTGGACATGAAGATCGGTCAGGGCCGCTATGAGCCAGGCTTTTTCCCCCGCTTACAGTCCGATGTTCTCTCTACTGGACCCACCAGCAACAAGTGAGAATAAATCGCTTGGCTTTTTCTAGATGTATTGAGACATCAATTAATTAAAGCTGCTGTCTGTAACTTTTGGCGCTCTAGCGGTTAATAAACAGAACTGCGTGCGTCTTGTGGAGGAACATTGTAGCCGGAGCTACTTCTCTCTGTTTATGTCTATGACGAATGACGCAGGTACTGGGCTACTCCGCAGCGGTTCCTACGTGAACCGGTCTAAAATAGTCCGAATATAAACACTTATTATAGGTGTACCGTAGTGATTCAGGACAAGCCAAAAACACGATTTGGAAAATGGATTCATGGTGTGTTCGCTTATTGTATAAATTTTGAACACAAAAAAAGTTACGGACTGCAGCTTTAAGTAACTAGTGCACAAATGCTCTCAGGGCTGTTGATGCTGGCACGACGTGATTAAATTGGTCATGTTTTCTAGGATCAACATCATTTGTTGGTTTCCTAAAATATGACGTAAGTCTAGTAAGTCTGGATGGATTCAATCCTGTGACTCAGTGCTTCTGAACTTCCCTTTTCAGTGAATTGATTCAAACTATCAACAATTAGTTTGGCACTAAAAATGTTGCCCTGTGTATATGTATGCCAATATATGTAGTTTATTGGTATGTAGAGAGACTCTTACTTATTGCTTTAAATATTTTGAATCTGCCACAATGACTGATTTATTTAAATGATGGTAGCAACTCAAAATGGTTCATCAAAAGCTATTTCAGAGAAAAAAAAATACTGAGATATATATCAAATATCTCCAGAAGGCTTAAAAATATTTGATCATATTATATCATATTAAGGTTGTTTGAAGACCAGCAAGGATGCTGATCCAAGAAGTTGTCTTGCTTGGGTAAATCAAGCGTTGAGACTGGTTCTCGTCATCCAAATGCAAACTTTGGTGGCCAGTTTGTGATTTTAGTTTTAATCTAATGCTGTTGTTGTTGTGTGTTAGATGGGCGAAGCGCAGTGCACCAGCACAATGGCGGAGGAAGGACAGACAGAAACAACACACTGAACATCTGGACAATGACCAGAGAGAGGTATGGACAGAATGCAAAATGAAATATAAATTGTTGCTACATATGAATTTTATTTTTATTTATAGAATTTATTTATTGATTATATTTATATGTATATCATTTTTTTTTACCATTTTTGAAAGAAGTCACCAAGCCTAGAAAAATACAGTAAAAATAGTAGCATTGCATAATATTGTTACAATTTAAAATAATGTTCTGTTTGAATATATTTTAAATACAGTTCATTTCTGTGAAGGCAAAGCTGAATTTTCAGCAGCCATTATTCCAGGCTTCAGTGTCAAAAATCGTGTTCTTGATGCTCAAGAAACATTTCTGCTTATTATCAATGTTGAAAACAGATTTTGCTGCTTAATATTTTCGTGAAAACTGTGATAAACTACCATGCAAATGTTTGGGGTAAGTATGATAAAAAAATATAATTAATTAATACTTTATTTTCAGCAAGGATACAGTAAGTTGATCAAAAGTGGCAAAAAAAGACATTTATATTACAAAAAAATTCAAGCAAATGCTGTTCATTGACCTTTCTATTAAAGGAGTCATATGAAAATTTTGTATCACAGTTTTTTCAATAATGTTAAGCAGCAAAAATTAATATTTGAGTACCAAATCAGTATATTAGCATGATTTCTGAAGGATCATGTGACACTGAAGACTGGAGTAATGATGCTGCAAATTCAGCTTTGCATCACAGGAATAAATCACATTTTAATATATATTCAAATTGAAAACATTTTAAATTGTAATAATATTTCACAATATTTACAGTATTTTGGTTACGTAAACACAGTCTTAGTGACTGATTTCAAAACCATTTTTAAAAATTATTATCGACCAAAAACTTTTGAACAGTAGTGGTACATGAATTGTTGGTTATTTGGTGAAAAGGATCGTTCAAACGAACCCACTGTTACCTGGCAGCACGTGCACATGCTGGTGGCCGTCCATATGGTAGGGTACGTGGCCAACAAGTTCACAAAATCGATTTACCTGGGCTCTGAGCTCCGCCTCCACCTTTTAAACAGAAAACACAACACAACTTAAGCAAACAGCACGACAGAAGCAGACAAACGTGTTTTGCTGTGCTTAGTTCTGAAGTCTGAAACTTTAGAGGTTATATAATGAAAAGTACTATTCTTGATCTTTGCAAATAAAAGAGGTTAATTTTTAACAAAAACAATGAAAAGCTTCCTCCACAGTCCAAGAAGACCATCTACTGAAACTAAGCTTTATTAAACAACTTGTTTAATAAAAAAAGGGTTAGAGAGAAGGTGGAAAATGGTTATGTAAAAGTATATTATATCTGTTTTTGGTGCAAACACTCGACTAACATTAATGGGCTTCAAGAAAAAGAGAACAATTATGATACGACCCCTTTAAATGTTTAATTCTAGTAAAAGAAAGAAGAAAAAGGTGGAAATGGTTTTGTAAAGATATATTACATCTGTTTTTAGTGAAAACACTCTTGACTAACATAGTGAACTTCAAACAAAATGTAATAAAAATTAAGATACAACACCTTCACACTTTTAATTTCAGTAAAATATGTGCATATCACGTGTTTTTCTCTCTTTCTAATTTACTGGATTTACATAGTGGTGTGTATTTTACCTGCTGCTTTAAACTTTAGTTTAAAGAGTACATAATGTCATAACCCCTCTTATAAGCAAGATAATAAAGTCCTTTCATGTTCTACTTTGAGCAACCATTGACACTACTATATAACATGAATACAGTGCTATACAGTGTGATGTAAACACGCTTTATGGTTTGAATTCACTCCCATGTGACTTTCTGTTGGTCTTTATGAGTGTGTGTTCCTGTGTACCTCTGACATCTTGAGCTGACCACACTGCAAAACTTCCCGGAAGCCCATCTTGCCATGGAAGAATCCATCCTTGTTGAGGAGCGTTGAGCCCTTTAGATCCTGAGACACTGGAAGACCCTCTGAAAGATTCGCATGGAGTCCAATGGGGATGTGATTCCTGTGTGTGAGAAGCAGTGTTATTTTAGAATCACTGAGACACTATTATAGATTTTATTACTATTTTGAATCAGCTTTTTAGATTTTCCGTTTTCATTTAAAGGGGTGGTTCACTGGGTTTTTTTCTAGGCTTGATTGTGTTTATGGGGTGCAGTCTAACATGTGTTCATGCTTCGTTTTTTAAAAAACGCATTATTTTTCACATAATTTACCTAATTTCCACACTGCTCTGTCCCTTCTCTGAGAAACGGGCCGATCATTTCCTTCTTTTATGAAGCCCCTCCCTCAGAAATAGGCGATGGGCTCTGATTGGTTAGCTAGCCCAGTGTGTTGTGATTGGCTAAACCACCTCTAGTGTGCTCTAAACGTCCCGCCCCTCACCTCAGCGGCATGTGCTCCGATTGTATTGTAAACAACTGCATGTTAATATCGCTTATCAGTTTGAGAGAGAGAGAGAGAGAGAGAGAGAGAGAGAGATGCAGAGCGTGTGCAGAGCAGGGTGACGCGAGGAACAGTATTAAGAACTGCTGCTTTAGAACATTGATTTTGAAACT